TTCTAACTTTATGACTCTGTGCCTCTATTCCTTCACTTGTAAAACTGGATATTAGTAGCCCTGATTTGAACACATCAACTATAAAAAAAAACTTTTTTTTTTTTTTTAACATTAGGCTTTTATTTGTTTATTTTTATGTGATGCTGAGGATCGAACCCAGGGCCTCGCACATGCTAGGCGAGCACTCTACCACTGAGCCACAACCCAAGCCCTGTAAAAAAATCTTTTACCGACAATTGCAACATTTTTTATATGAAGTATTAGATGGTTTTAGAGAATTATTATTAATTGCTTAAATTATTATTAATTGCAATAGTATTGTGATTATGTGGGACGGTGTTCTTATTTTTTTGAAGGTGCATACTTAAGTATTTAAAATTTCTTAGAGAAAGAGAAATGAAATAAGTATGGTAAAATATTAGCAACTGTTAAATCTGGGTGGCAGATATATAGATTTTCATACCCTTCCCCCCCCCACACACTTTTCTTTTTGGACTAGGGATCAAACCCAGGATCATTCTACCACTAAGTGATGTCCTCAGCTCTTATTATTATTATTATTATTATTTTAGATATAGATGGACACAATTTATTTACTGTATCACAGAGCTATACTCCAGTCTCACTTGACTATTTTCATGTAAAAAACTTTTTTTTTGTACCAGAGATTGAACCCAGAGCCACATCCCCAGCCTACCACCCCATTTTTAAAAAATATTTTTTAAGTTGTAGATGGACACATTTATTTATTTATTTTTATGTAGTGCTGAGGATCAAACACACCTGCAAGGCCAGTGCCCTACCACTAAGGCACATCCCTAGCCCTCCCCAGCCCCTTTTTCAATATTTTATTTAGAGACAGGGTCTTTCTAAATTGCTGAGGGCCTCACTAAATTATTGAGGCTGGCTTTGAACTTGCAATCCTCCTGCCTCAGCCCCTGGAGCCACTAGGATTACAGGCATTTGCCACTGCACTTGGTCCTTTTCTTTTTTAAAGTAATACTTACCTTGGACCTATGGTTGTGGCTCAGTGGTAGAGCACTTGCCTAGCTCTACCACTGTAGAGTGTGAGGCACTGGGTTCAATCCTCAGCACCGCATAAAAATAAATAATTATAACAAAGGTATTGTGTCTAACTACAACCAAAAAAAAAATTTTTTTTTTTAAAAATAGTGCTTACCTCACAAATTTGTTGTGAAATTTTGGTAACTTAGTACCTGTAAAAAACTTAAGAGTGTTTTTTTTTATAGAATAAATAGTCAATAAATATTAGTTATTCAAATAATTAGTCCATGTAATCCTTTCAACATCACCAGCTAGATCAATTACCCCAGTTTTACAGATGAAGAAATGGGGACATGGGGATTTAAAGTAACTTGCTTAAGGTCACATAGCCTATTCTGGATCTTAGGTATTCTAGTTCCTAGCCTTCTTTTTCTGTCATCACATTGCTTTTCAGAAATAAGAGTAAAGATGGTGTTTGGGGTTTTTCTATATATCACTTCCTTTCGGATAACAGTTGGGGGTACTGGGGAGCAGAAATGGAGAGGGATATTGAACTAGCTGGTCTGTAACTGGGAGCTGTCACACTTTTCCCTTCCATCAGGGAACAGATAAGAGTCCCAGAGAGTCAAAGAGGACATACTAGAGAAAGGGCAGGACTTTTTGTTTCTTTTTCACATGGGGGAAAAAAAAAAGTCACTGAACTGATGGCAAAATTGTATCTACAGATGACATCCGTGGGTCTTTAAGCCTCACCAACCTTTCCACTTCCATGTCTGGAGTCTATGTCTGCAAAGCTCACAATATTTTGGGCAGTGCCACGTGCAATGTTACTCTGGAAGTGAGCACAGGTCAGTGAGGGGTAAGTGTGGTTAAGAAGAGTGGTCAGTCGTGGGGGTGGGTTTGCAAGTGGAAGAAAGCCTGTTAGCTGAGGCCTTTCATTGTAGCAGGACAGGGAGCTTGCCCTGGTCAAAGTTTCCTACAAATGTTTGTGTAGTGACAGGCCATTTTCTGCTTGACAGTGCCTTTTCTTCTTAACAGGAAAAAAGAATGTATCTGGTGGCAGTGGGGTAGTAGAATTGAAGGGTAGGGGACAGATGAGTGTTCCTTTCTGACACCAAGGCTTTTCCAGGACCCAGGGCTGCTGTGGTTGCTGGAGCAGTTGTGGGCAGCCTGGTTGGACTGATGCTGCTTGCTGGGCTGGTCCTCTTGTACCAACGCAGAGGCAAGGCCCCAGAGGAGCTGGCCAATGATATCAAGTAAGTGTTCCTGATCTTCGCAGGGATGGAGGCTTTTCTAACTTCCCTCACAGAGTTTGAGTCTCATAGTATAGAAGAGTGGGCAGATCATCTTTCCTAGGGGCAGATTTTATGGGAGAAGGAAAAGAGTTGAAGTCTGCATTTGTGGAGATAAAAAACAAAACATATAGAAATTTTCTTTTCTTTTCCTTTCTGCTTCTGATGTATTTTTACTTCTTTGATGACTAGGGAGGATGCCACTGCTCCCCGGACTCTGCCCTGGCCCAAGAGCTCAGACACAATCTCTAAGAATGGGACTCTTTCGTCTGTTACCTCAGCACGAGCCCTCCGATCATCCCATGCCTCTCCCAGGCCTGGTGCAATGACCCCTACACCTAGTCTCTCCAGCCAGGCCCTATCTTCACCAAGACTTCCCAGAACAAATGGGGCCCACTCTCAGCCAGTATCCATTATCCCTGGTGGGGTTTCTTCCTCTACCATGAATCACATGGGTGCTGTGCCCATAGTAGTGCCTATGCAGAATCAGGCTGGGTCTCTGGTGTGACGGCACTCAAGGGTAAACAATCTGGTGTCTCTATTTCCTATAAGGGTTACCCTTAGCACTGACAGAGGCCTGAGTCTTGGGAAGGTAGCCACACTCCAGACCTCCAGTCCTCTGCTCCTACCTCTTTACTATAGCAAAACTGGGTCTCAGGAAGACCCAAATGTTCAGAAGATCAAAGGAAAAAAAAAAAAAAGAGGAAGTGAACCTAGGATGGGATTGAGGGGAAACTTCACCCCTCCCCCATTTCTTCCTATGAAGCAAGCTGAATGCTGCTGAGATTGGCTACCCTCCAAGGGCCCTGGAGGAGGAGACTGCCAGTCAAAGAGGCCGCAGCCTGATGATTTGTAACCCACCCCTATCTAACTGACATCCCTTGCTGCCACTCCATCCAGCTCCCTGCATTAATACAAACTGTTGTGCTGTCTTGGTTGGATTTGTTGGGGCAGGGAATATGAAAGACATTTTAAAAACTAACTTGAAATGTGTGTTTTTGTTTTTATTTTGCAAATTTCAATAAATATACACTGTGTTTATATGAAATAAGAATCACATATCCTTTCCAATTGGGAATTCTCAGAAGTTGAGCTTCAGGAGGATGCAAAGTGGAACCTAACCAGGCTGTGGAAGCAGGAAGCTTCTCTATACAGCCTGAATTTACTGGCTTGGGATATCTCTAGTTCTAGAGTGTTTAGAAAGTTCATTTGCTGTCATATGTAAAGAGAAAGCACCCAATTCCTTAATCCAATCTGAGCAGTAAGGGAATGAAAAGGAAGGGTACGCTTTCTGCTGGAGTTCTGAGGGTCCTCTCTTCTTCCTCAATGGGGCTGGGGAGGGGAACCTCCTTTGTGCTTCCTTCTCTCACACAATGGGATCCTTAACAAACACATCTCTTGCCTGTGGTGTAGCAGTCCCTCTTGTTACTGAGAGAGAGCTGAGTGTAGAATGTGGTGCAGATACATGTCAAAATTCTGCCATGTTCTTTCCTAACAATGGTGAGAGCCTCTAGGTCTCAGTTTCTCTGTACAATGGAGGGGCTCTGGGAATGGGGAGGTGGGTGTGACTTATGGAGACTCTTACTCCAGTATGTGGTGAACAGAAGAATTTTTGGAGGAACAAGAATCTCTGAAGGGGTCAGAAAGGGTCTGAGCCCAGAATTACATGCTCACTTCAAGAGCCCATGTTGGTGAAGTATTTGCCAAGTCCCAGTGTTAGATTGCCTTCTCTTCCTCCTGCAGAGCTCCAGTTCTGAGCCCTGGCCCTCAGGGTACCCACCCAAAGGCCGGTTCTTTTACCAGGGCCTGACAGCTTCAGAAACTGAGGGAAGAGGAAGGAAAAGGAAGGAGGGCTACAGTGATTTCAGAGTTGGCCTGGAGGAGGGAGGAGCATTTCTTTACCTGAAGGTGCCAGCCTCTCCCCTTGTTTGCTCTGAGATAGTCAGTTTCGCTCCTGCCAGGCACGACAAGGCTACCCGCTGGGTACTACCTTCCCTTCCCCAGACCCCGACACCGAGACAGACCAACGCATGGCAGGACAGCTGGAGGTGGCCGTGACTGGGCTCCCTGCGGGGCCTTTCCTCTGCTGGGCTCTGCTGGGCTTTGTGTGCCTGAGTGGTGAGGAGAAGCCTCAGCGAGAGATGGGGGTGGGGTCCTGACTTCCCGGGCTCTTTAAGGACTGCCCAGTCCCTTCGGTGTGGGCTAGGGCTGCTTCTGGGGCTAAGGCGGAGCCTGCTGATCCAGGCAGGGGTTGAGGGCCACCAGGGCAGAGGAGAGGGGCGCACCGGCTGGCATTCTCTAACCACGGCAGGGCTATTGTCTTCTTTTCTCCGCCAATACATCCTCATACCTGGCCCAGTCTTGGCCCTTTTACCCACAAAAATCGGGCTGGGCTGTGGGCACCTCCCTCCCGGAAACATCAGGTTTCAAGAAGGAAGGAGGGACTGGCTTGAGAAGAGTGCACTGTGGGGAGAGAGCCCCCAACTCTTGATGTAGACGCTGAAATATAGGCCAGACCTTCCAGATCACCAGGATTGTGGTTCTGCCTCCCTCTCCATCCTCAGCCCCAGGGATAGCTGTGGAGGTGAAGGTACCCACTGAGCCCCTGAGCGTGCCCGTGGGCAAGACTGCTGAGTTGAGCTGCAGTTACAGCACATCAGTGGGAGACAACTTCGCCCTGGAGTGGAGCTTTGTGCAGCCTGGAAAGCCCATCTCTGCCTCCCATCCCGTGAGCTGAGAGCCACTGTGACCCCAGTGGGGTTGGCCAGGAAGAATGAGGGCTTGGGGTGGGGGTACATTTGGGGATCAGTATTGCTTGGATGAAAAGGTAAGTGGGCTCTTGCTAGATCTTCTCAGTCTGTGTGACCCTATATTATCCTTACCTCTCCCATGGCTATATTAAAACCCCTTGTTAGTGAAGTCCCAGTTGGAATTACTGAACCCATTGAGGCTGAAGTGTTGCTGGTTTATATGATACATTGATGTTGCCCCTTAATAGTTCAGGCTACAGAGTATCAACCTCCTCCACTAGTGCAAGTGAGTGGACTTATTCCCACTTCCATGTGGAAGCACTGTGGAATGGGTGCCAGAGAGAAAGGGGAACATATGCATGTCTTCTGCCTCTTCTCAGATCCTGTACTTCACCAATGGCCATCTGTATCCCACTGGTTCTAAGGCTGAACGGGCCAGTCTACTTCAGAACCCCCCCACAAGAGGGGTGGCCACCCTGAGATTGACTGATGTCCGCCCCTCAGATACTGGAACCTATCTCTGTCATGTTAACAATCCACCAGATTTCTACACCAATGGGTTGGGGTTAATCAACCTTACTGTGCTGGGTAAGGCCAACTGGGGACCCACCAGTTAACCGTGTACTCTGAAAGTGTGTACAGTCCCTGTTAACTCTCTCCATATCCTGATTTCCAGCTGAAGGACACAACTGCATTGGGGACCTTAAAAAAAAAAAATCCCCCTTCTGAGGACTTCTAATCTGTATAGTCAGTCATACTCTATTCTGCCCTCCACAATGTCTCCTCCCTTAGGGCCCTAGTAACAAAGGGTCTGAGAGAAAAAGCCCTTCCCTTATATGGGGTCTGAGTCATACCCCTACCAGCTCCATTAGCCAGGAACCTCCCACTGATAGTTTAGATTTGAATTCTGTCCCTCCCAATAGTCAGTGGCAGAGAAGGAGGGTAGCCACGAAAGGAAGAAGTCCCCTATCACTGTGCACCACTTTGTGTTCAGAAATTCCATCTCACCCCAAATCACAGCCTGGTCAGAGATGAGCAATCAAAGAAACTATTAGAGGCAAGAGATGTTTAGATGGAAAAGATAAGACCAAGGAGATGTTGTGTGACTGCTATATTCAAATATCTGAAGGACTGTCATGTGGAGGAGAGATTTTAATTTCTCACTGTGGGCCCAAAGGAACTGGAATCAAAGGGTAGATATTATTAACATGGACTTTGGCTCAACATGAGGAAGACCTTTAAAATACTCAAAATTTCCAATAGTAGAAATCACTTCCTGGGGATGCAGTGGTGTGTGGAGAGAAATGGACCATTATTTGGCAGGGGTATTAAATCAGGATATGTAGCACTTAGTTGGTGTGAGATTAGAAGATTGCTGAAGTACTTCTGTGATTTTTGCAGTACCCCCCAGTAACCCCTTATGCACTCAGAATGGGCCAACCTTTGTGGGGGGCTCTACTGAACTGAGATGCTACTCTTCTGAGGGAGCTCCGAAGCCAGTGTACAACTGGGTACGCCTTGGATCTTCTCCTACACCTTCTCCTGGTAGCATGGTTCAAGGTAAGGGCCCAGGGACTCAAAGAGGGAACTGCACACCTGTACAAATGTGGTCTCTAAATCCCATATACCCACATTATCAGTTCTATGACTATTGAGGATGAGACAAACCACTCTACCTTTTCCCTGTCTCTTTCCTATATTATTCCCTTTCCGTCTGTTTACTGCAGCCTGTGGCTGCATTCTTGGGAGTTATTTCTCAAATTAAATATTTTCCTGATATCCTGAAAGAGAGTAGAGAGCAAGGGGCATTCTTATGATTCCTACTTGTCTACTTTTGGGAGATTTTCTAAAGGGTCATGAATCACTTCCAAACTTCCTAAGCCTAAAAAGGTATTATGTGAGGTGGAAAGAGCCCATAAGTTGAAGTGGCTTTGGAATTACTCTCTAGAAATTATTTACTTTCTGAGTCTGATTTCTCACAAATGGTATCAGGTTGTTCCTCTTTAGCAGGACTGCTGTAAGGATAAAATGAATGAGCTTTCTTCATAGTAGGTGCTCATCCAGTTGACTGAGGTGACACACTTCCTTTTTTCCCTCTAGATGAGGTATCTGGCCAGCTCATTCTCACCAATCTCTCCCTGACCTCCTCGGGCACCTACCGCTGTGTGGCCACCAACCAGATGGGCAGTTCATCCTGTGAGCTGACCCTCTCTGTGACCGGTAGGGAATGCTCAGCAAAGGCCAGACTGAAAGGCTTGGGTTGGGGAGGCTGCATGAAGTGGTCTGAGGATGAGTCAAGAAGTTCTGAAGCTCTGAGGGCCTTATGTCTTCTTAGATTCCTCCAAAGGTCGAGTGGCTGGAACTCTGATTGGGGTGCTCCTGGGTGTGTTGCTCCTGTCAGTTGCTGCATTCTGTTTAATCAGATTCCAGAAAGAGAGGAAGAAGAAGCCCAAGGAGACATATGGGGGTAGTGAACTTCGGTGAGCAGGAGGGCTAGAGGGTGGTGCAGAGAGGGAGAAAAGGGTTTGGGTTTAAGGTGGAACCTTTAGCCCTCAAACTCTGACACTGTTAGAAGTGTTAGGGGGTAGGGATTACTGCTCGTTCCTGGTATTTAGTGGTGGCAGATGCAATATAACCTATGCATGAGTGTGTGTGTGTGTGAACAATGTGTACAGGGTGAAGGAGTTAGTTTACAAGTTGGGACATGGATGACTCAGTTTACAGGACAGCCTGAACCCTTCTCAAATTTAAAAATGTTTACTCTTCTGTTTTTAAGGCGTGTGTGTTTGTGTGTATGTGTGTGTGTATTTTAAATGTATTGGATTTATCCTGATCACTTAGCTGAGTTTAGTTCTGTGTGGGGCAATCAGGAAAAGAGCCCAAAGCTTCCTCTGTCCTCCACTTATCAGAGCAAAATTTCTTCAAATGTGGTCCTCAGGTTACCTAAAAAGGTATCACCAGGAACTTATTAAACATTCAGTTTCAGGTCACTTTCTATCCCTCTTACAGTAAAATTTCTGGGTGAGTGTGTGTGTGTGTGTGTGTGTGTTTGTGTGTGTGTGTGTGTGTTGGTGGAGACAGGCCCTGGAATTTTCATTTTAACCAAAAGTTCCACAAACAATTCTCAGGCATAGTAAAATGTAAAAGTTCCTGGGTTACAAGACAGCATTTGTCTGGAGGTTGCTTCTAGCTTCAGTAAAAATTTGCTTATATCCATCAGGGAGGATGCCACGGCTCCTGGGATTTTTGAGCAATCTTCTATGAAGGTGGATTCTAGCAAAGGGCTCCTTGAAAGGTCCCCATCTACCAGTACTGTGACGACCACGAAGTCCAAGCTCCCTATGGTTGTCTGACTTCTGATCCCTGAGGGCAGTGAGGGGGAAGATCAATAATTAAAACCTTTGGGTACCATATTGTCTCTTTCTGGCGAATTTCTCTAGGCGGCCCAAAGAGTATTACTAGTAAGGGAAGGATTGGGCTTTAAATCCCAGAGATGATGCTATAAGCAGGAAGTTTGGTTGCGTCAAAGGGCAGATTTCAATCTAAGGGTTTCTCCATCTCACTTCCTCTCTGCTTTTTGGCTTGATCAAAAGAGATTTGTTCAGGCTCCAACCGGTGGCCTTGTGCACCCAAACTCCCTCCCCTCCCGGCACCCTCTGAACACTTGGACATTCCTCTTTATTGTTCACATTCCAACCCAGAACGGTCACATGCACACACCGAGATTAAAAACCTTCCGGCCACAACCCCAGGAGCCCGGCGGGGCCGAAGCCGGAAGGGGCAGGGGCGGGGCCGCGGAAGACTCCTCCTACCGAGCCTCCAGGCGCTCGGCGTTTGCGTAAACAGGAGAGCTGGAGAGGCGGCTCTCAGGGTGCGCTGGGGAAAAGGAAGGGAACATGACAGGCAGGTGCGGGATAGGGACTTCCCTTCCGATCAGAGTAAGGGGCATCCGAAACCATGTAAACACTTTTCTCCCTTCCTCATGTCCCAGATTTAAAGTTCTGAGGCTAGGCTGGGGCGGGAATCGCACAGAGACGCAGGGCGCCCCCTATCGCTGCGCACAGAACCAAAGGACTGTTATTATTTTTTTAAATTGAGTGTACTTGGGCGACGCTTAGGGCGCCCTCCGCAGTGCGCGCAGGGAAGCGCACAGAGGCTGCGGAGGCAGAGCTGCATGCTGGGTGCGGGGAGAGGTGGGCGAGAAGCAAAAGGAGGAGAATTTGGGAGTGCGGGGTTTGGGGATCGGAGGGGGAGGAAGGGCGAACAGGGACCACGCTAGACTGGAGGGCTAACTAAAAGGGCACGGACTTGGCGACTCCGCGAGGAAGCCTGCCTGGAAGAAAGAGTCTCTGGGACGCAGGGGGGCTCCAGAAGCTGGCAGGCTGGTGGGGAGGAGGGGATCACAAACACGGTAGGGAAGTCTTGTCACTGCGAAGGGGACACGGCATCCATCTCTCCTTGGGAACTGAGGAAAGAGAAGGTCTGAGAACCTGCCCTCTCCTGGAATTTACTCTCCCCGTCCCTTCTACCTTTCTGAACTAGGATACCAGGGCCTGGAGTGCCAGGGGTCCCTAGTCACTCAGACCCCCCCCACCCCCGAGTCAATGAGCTGAAATGAGCCCCGAGAAAGATACGTGAGTGAGACCAGGTGTGTTTATAGCCCTCGGCCGGGCTTGTGCGGCCAAATGAGGGTGACTGCGTGTTTGCGTTAATCCAGGTGTGACCCTGTCGCAGCCTCAGGCTTGTCAATGTGTCGGAAAACCTGCGGGTGCAGGGTGCACGTTCCCCGGTTGAGAGTGAGTGAAGGCGGACAGGGGAAGGGTTGGGAAATTGGTCCTTTCCTCCCACTTAGCATTCCCCAAAACCTCTCCGCTTTGGGTCGTATTCATTACCTTCTAAAATGTTCATTTCTTCTTCAGTCCAGGGCGTGGCAGAAGGCAGGGTGGAGAGGGAGAAACAGGTGAGTTCTCGGAAATCTCAGCACCTTTAGCCTCTTCCAACCCACCTCACCTGGCGGATTTCTACTTCCCACCCCCAGCTCCTTCCACACCTTTCTCTACCTTCAGCACGCCCTTAGTCTTCCCTTGCTCCTTCCTAGGAGCATTGGGAAAGAGGGGCCTCCAGCTCGCAGCGTCCCTCCAGCCAGCCTCACCTGGCTTAGTCTCCGCTGGGGCCGCCGCCCGCGCCTCCCCGGGCGCCCCCAGCTCCGCCGGGTCCCCCAGGACCCGGGCCCTTCCGGCCGTGCTCTCCACTCTTTATCTTCTTCCGCGCCATATGGCCCCGGAAACTCGCCTGGATTTTGGCAGCGGCTGCATTGGCACCAGGATCGTCCAGTGGGATGTCTAGAATGTCGTCGTCCGGCTTGGAGCAGGCGCTCTCCTGGGGAGGGAAGGGGAAGGGGTTCTTATTGGCGGGTCGGGTCGGAGACCCAGAGAGGGTAGGTTAGGACCAGAGTCTCGGGAGATTGAGAGCAGGACTACTGGGGTAGCAGATGTGGAAGAGAGGAAAGCCACACTGGTGTGTTTCTCCCTGGGCAACGAAAAGAGGAAGGTTCAGGGCTATGATGTGGGCACAGTTGTGCACTCACCTCAGGAAAGAAATACATGGTGGGAAGGGGTACAAGAAATCCAGACAGCCGGAGTGAGCCAAGGGCCCATTACCTGTGGCCAATTTAGGGGCGCTGCAGAATTGAGTGGACTGCGGGTTTGGAGGAGCAAAGTAAACAGGCATTCCCGGATGTGGCCACCCATCCCCCTGCTTTTAACGGCTGCCTCCAGTTCAGAAGGGGCCCTTCCCAGCCTAGCATTTTCTGGGGATTGGGTACATAAGATTCACCAGGACAGCCTTTTCCTGAGTAGACTGGTACCAGAGCTCAACTGGAATTAGGGAGAGGATGGGGCCAAAGCTCAGTGAATCTGCCTCCCCTCTACCCCCCCCCCCATATGGGTTAGAGGCCAAGAGACTGTTTTCCCATGGACTATTCACTTTCCCACTGTTCCCCAGGTTGACCTCACAACCTGGAGTCTCAGAATAAGTGACAGACAAAATCTATCACTTAAACAAACAAACAAACAAACAAACAAGGAAAAGATCAGCAGGAGCAAGAAGCCCTTTCCTTGGTGTGCTCATTGGAAGAAAGTAATTAGGACAATAGCTACCATTTATGCATGTATGTTGTTCCAGGTGGAATAATACAGTGTTTTACAAGCATTATTTTATTTAGCTTTCAAAAATAAAGCAATGACATATCTTTTTATTATTACCCCAGTTTATTATGATAAAACTGGCGGTTGGTTAAAAAACCTATCTGGTGAAACAAAAAAGCAACAAACAAAGAAAAAAACCTATCTGGTGTCATATAGAAAGTTATTAATGGACCAAAAATTCGAACCTTTGTATATCAGGGTCTAGAGTGCATTTTTAACCTCCACTTAGGATAAGCAGATGCAACCCAGAAAGCAAACCAGGGCTCTACCACATGCTGTAACTGTGTTGTCTTGGGCAAGTTATCTAATCTTTTCTTAGTTCCTTCATCTGAAAAACCAGGATAATAATATCCACCTCTATGGGTTGTGGGGAAGAATAAATAGCATGATATGCATAAAGTTTCTGGCACAGACTAGTTGCTCAATAAATGGTAGCTATATATTATGATTGTTTTATATAATATATTGATGCAAAATCATTGCTTCTGTATGCCAAAAGTGGTCATATAATAACAATTTTACAAAGTTCACTCTAATATACAAATACAAGCCACATAATGTTTTGGTCAATGATAGATCTCATATAATGATGATACTATAAGATTATATCATTTAATGTTGTCATAATTATCTTCATTGGGGTAATTATACTATATATTGTTTGCACAATTCCAATGACACATTTTTCAGAACCTGTTACCATCATTATGGAATGTGTAACTGTAATCTGACCATCCCATACCCAAAGTAGGTTTCTGTCTCTCTCATGGCCTGCCCTAGCTGACAGAAGAAAGAATTAAGGAATTGATATAATGAATTTCAGTGGTTAGGCTGGAATAGAGAAAGTCTCAGTATTTAGCTCCTTTGTGGCTTAACATGACTTATGGCATCAGTGTGGACTGGGATGATGATGATTACTGGCAAGTTAGAAGACCATTTCTCCTTTGTTTTGGCCCCATGGCTTCTAGGAATGTGTCCGAGGACATGCATTGCTCAGACAGTAGCTGATCAAGGTCTCACATAAAAATGGTAACTCAGTTCTACTCCTGCCCCCTTCTGGTCAGTTATCTAGTCTTAGAAGTGAGGCTTCAATGATCACTGTCCCAGACAGGTTGACCCAGGAGTACATGTTTAAATTCTGGATGCCCTTGCCAGGATTTCCCAGGCTGTCCTCATTTCGTGGGCTTTCATGGTTCTTCAATTTGTGCTGAGATGTTCACAATCCATGGATATAAATACAATTTCAAGGAGTTTCCAGGCAGCTGGTGTTGTGTAGAGGGGCCCTCTTTTTGTCTTTCCTAAGTCTCAATCTCTCCCTGACCTTTTATTTTTTATTCACATAAAATCTAAAACAACTCCTTTGGGTTCTTTGATTCTCAGAGTTCAAGTCTTTCTTGGAATATTCTCTGGGAACAGTGAGACTTCTTTTCAAAAGGGGGCAACAACTATTAATAAAAAAATTCCAGTCCACTAGGCTCTTGGGCCTTGGCAGTCATGGAGGTGTGGGGAAGTTGAGTGGAGCAAGGGTATCTTTCTCCAGTCTCTCAAGACCCCACCTGCTGTCACCACCCACCCCAGCTGGATCCAAAATGGAAACCTACCCCCAGAATCAGCTCCCTCTCCCTCAAGCTGAGTTCTCAGGATAGAGCTAGCTTTGAGGTGGCCTGTTCCAGATCTGTTCACAGATCTGCAGGGAGAGTAGTAGGAATAGGGCAAAAGGCTCATTGGTCACAGTAAGCGGGTGCCTTCCAAAGTCAAGACTGATGGTGTATCCCGGAGAACTCTGTATGAACTGGGTGACATTTAGCAGGAGATGTGAAGGTGGAGCCATGGTTTCTAGTCCCACTGGGCACATCATTTTCCCTCTAGGAACCTTATTTTATTTTCAGCCACAACTAAAACTTGGCTGAGATTAATAAAGTCTCCTTGAGCTCCCAAATCCTAATAACTATAAGAATTATTCCTGCTGGGTGCTTATTATGTGTCAGGCCCTGTGCTCAACACTGCACATTTTACCTATTCAATCCCAATTTTGGAAGTCTGGGAAGAGTCTCAGAGATATTTTGTAACTTCCCTGAGGTTGCACAGTTGATAAACAATGTAATGATCTGATTCAAGGCAGGCAATCATTTTATGAATTCAGCTGGACCAGGTTGACTAGACCAAGCAAAAGAAAGGAGTAGGATCCAAAATATGTTCCTCTGCTTTTTCATAGTAATTGAATGCAGGAAAATCTCATATATATATATATATATGAATGATTTAAAAAAATAAGGAGATCTGTCCTGTCCCCCCGCCCCCTGCCATTTGTGTATCAGCCTCGTGACCAAGAAGAAAGAAGGAGGAAGGCTAGTGGTCTTCCTAAAGACCAGGTGACCAGGTGAAGTGGTCATGGAGGAGTTCCAGAATGAAAAATGAAGAGGCACACTGACTGCTTTCTGTACATATCACAGCTCCCTCCTAGCATTGAGCCCAGACCTCCAAAGAATTGGGTAGGAAAATGTCTGGCCCCAGCCCCATCCTTCTCTAACCCTTCACCTCCGCGTCCGTCCCTTTTCCCTCTTCCTGTTGTCCTGCACAGTCCAAGTATGGTGCCTGCTCTTGCTCGTTCCTTTGGCCCTGAAAACCTAAAACATGAAAAAGGAAAGTTCCTGTGTATACGGTGCACTGGAAGAGGTGCCCCAGAGCCTAGGTCACTGGGATCAGTGTATCTGCCACCTTCATATTTTTTGGGTGGGTGTCCTTTCCTTTTTTTAGGAGACACTGAATGCAACCCTGTCTACTAGGTCCTTAGATGTTATCTATCAACACCTGTCATCTGTTACCTAGCTAGCTATTTGCCCTGCACAAATGGCTTCCTGGGCACTCACAAGCACCACCCAGGGCTGACCAGGGCCTTCAGGTGGACTCCACACCCCTCCCTTATTACTCCTGCAGACACAGGAGGTGACAGGCTACATTCCTTCCCTGTCTTCTTGGATTCTTTGTTCTTTCCACTGACCATGCCTCCTGCTTTCCTTTCCCTATCATTTGGATCTTCTCATCTTATTCCTTCGTCCTCAGCAATACCCTTCCCCCACTCACTCAGATCTCTGAATCCATGATTCATTTATTTACTTTACTTTATAAAACATTGCGGGTTGAGAGGTTCTTCCTCAGTGGATCCCAGAAACCTCCATTTCTCCTTTCGCAACCGAAAACATTGTTTCTTGATCTGGGGATGGAGTTCAGTGGGAAAGCCATACTTAGCATGAAGGAGGCCCTAGGTTCAAACCCCAGCACAGTAAATACAAAAATAAATAAGTCTCTGAAGAATAACAAGCAAAGGGAAAACGATGTTATCAGTGTTCTCCAGGGGGCAGGACTGTATGTGATTGACATGTTTCTTTTTATACTTTCTCTGTTCTTTATATTTACTATTATATGCATGTTGCTTTTATAATGAGGAAAAGACAATATAGTTGGAGGAGAGGTCAACATATAGCTATTTGAATGAAAAAAGGCTCTGCTTGAATCCCGTCTCCATATCCAGGAGCGCTGCCTCCTTGGGAAAATAATTTCTTGAAGCCTCAATATGCACATCTGTGAAATAACACCTACCTCACAGAGTTGTGATGATTAAATATAAAATGTAAGGTTACGGTGAGCAATCACAAACTAGCAGTTATTATGGATACTAATAAGAGTTAAAATCACAACTATGACTTGCTTCTAAGTTTTTTCAGCCTCTTGATATCCAGACATCTCAAAGTCTCACCTCTTACGGAACTGGGGTGTTCTTTAATTCCCAAGCTCATTCCCCTCACCTTTTTGTACACTATGGGGTAGGGAGAGGACAAATCAATTAATAGAATACAAGGAGAAGTATTTCTCTGTATGTAGGGGATAAAATAAATTTCTATGCGCATGATCACTGTACTCCTCTAGTGACCAGGAGTCAGGTCCTGTGCCGGGTGCTTGCATACAGGGTCACCTTAACAGTAATCTACTTTTGCATTAGGCACTTGCTGCATCCTGGTCTCCGTGTGGGCGCTGACAAATTGCAGACGCTTCCTTTCCTAGCCAGCAGGGCTCTCTCGCGGTCACTTCACCCAGCCCCCTCAGAGTGAGAAGGCTTTGGGGGCCGGGCCAACTCCTCTCCAGAACCACACTGACTAGGCTTTTTGCTGCCCATCCTCACTACTAAGACCAGTATGGACCGATTACCTCCATCTACATTGTGCAGGGACTTAGGCGATCTTCCGAGGATCGGAAAGATCAGTATGTCCACCCACCGACAACGGTGCCAGTGGGCTATTATATGGTATAGGGAACAAATGCCAGAGGAGAGAATTCGCCGCAGCTTCGCTAGGCGACGATTTTCAGCGTCTCACAGGAGGAAGTTCCTCCTGTCGTCTAACCTGCAGTTTCTCTGCTGCAAAGCCCTGCCCAGCTGGAAGTCCAACCTAGACTGCTTGGCGGATGGGCGCTCAGACGCCCCCGCTAGTTGGGGAGCATTTTTTCCTAGGGCTTTCGAGTGAGGCGAGCGCCTTCCATCACCCATCACCCACGTCTCAGCAGGCGTCCTCCTAGGTCTTCCGCACCCACTTCCATCCTTCACTCACCCTGCAGGTGGTTCTCGAGCTCTCCTTGCCCCAGACCAAGCTGAGTGCCAGTTCCCCAGGCCCTCTGACTTACCGTGCAGCAGTCCATGCTAGTGTTGGGGGTCCTTGGCTGGGGTGGAGCCTGGCGCAGGGCGGGGGTGGGGGGGTCTGTGTGATGTTGGGTGGCAGCTCTTGGGCTGTCCGAGGCCGGCGGACCGGCGCAGAACCAGCAGCTCTCCTCTCAGGTCCGGTCTCCCGCGCTCAGCTCCGCTCGCGAATGTAACCTGAGCCCTGCTGTCGTGAAGCCAATCAGGAGACGCCTTCAGCAGAGTGGGCGGGGAGAACTGGAAGGAGGACCACTCCCTCTCTCCGCTCTCTCGGTTCTCTCCGCCTTGCTCCGGCTCCTTCCCTTACCCCTCCGCCTACTCACTTCCATCCATTCCACCTACACACCCCACCCTCCCAAATTCAAT